ACTTAATAATGACACGTAATTCTAAATATATAGCGTGGCTTTTTAAGTATCTACGTAAACTTTTTTTTTTTTTTTTTTTTGCCACATCATCTAAAAGCAACTGGTTACGTGTTGTCTACTTATTTGAAGAGGTAATCAAGACCTTTAAATAAATAAAATGTTTATTTGCGAACCTAAAATGATAATTTAAAAAGTTAATTCCCCAAAATAGAAACTTAAGTGAGACAATGTTGATTCCATTTTGATACAATTTTCATAAGAAAAACCATATTACTACGATAATGATGAGTTATTTGTCCAAGTCTTCTTCAACCATGTTTCTTTTTGTATCTCGTTTTTCATTTATATACATAATAACGTGTTGTGTACAATGCACTTTTAATTGGCAGTTGAATGTATATTCTGTAATTAATAAAATAATTAAAAGAAGCTCTTTAATTAAAATTTTAATCAAATAAATCTAAACAAATTTTTAGCATCTATTAGAGATTAGTATTAAAAACAATAAAACATCAATTCCAGTTAGTAAACATATAAGCTCGTTTTATTTCAATTAGGTAACATAGTTTTAATAACCTAATTGACACTACAATAAAATCGGGTTTATAGGACATTTCCAATTTCTAAGCGTCTTAATAGACCTCTTTATAAAACTTAGTTTGTAGGACCAAAAAAATAAAGCGTCTTATATAAAGGCGTTGTAATAAGTTTATATGATGTTTTTTGACGTCGTAATAAGTTTTTTAGGATACTTTTAATATAAAGCGTTCTATTAGCAACTTTATAGGACACTATTTGAAAAATTGTTTTATAAAAACAATAGTCCTATAAAAAATTGAGTTTATAGGACACTTTTTCAAAAGTGTCCTATAAAGTTATTAATGGGACACTTTTGTCTTAAAAAACTTGTTAAAACGCCCAAAAGCGTCATATAAACTTATTACAACACCTTTAGATATGACGCTTTGTATTTTGGTCCTATAAAGCAGTCTATTGGGACGCTTAGAGATTGGAGGTGTCCTGTAAAGCCAATTTTGTTGTAGTGTGAAATCAAACGTGTTATTTCACCAGCTAGATTGAAATCCCCAACCAATTACGTGTTTTAAAATTCAATTGACAAACCATCATTTCAACAATCAAATGAGTTGTCAATTCAACGAAGATAAATATCGAATAAGACACTGTACATATAGAAAAAGCATCCACAAAATAGTGTGTTGGTCCTTTTTTTTCTTTCTTCTTTTAATGTATCGGGCCTCTGTTGACCGTTCTCCTTGTGAGCCCAACCCTTCTAACACGACTTGACCAAAAAAAAATTCATATTACTTTATTAAGAGCAACTCTAACAGCTGTGTTATATTTTTTCTTTAAAAAAATTAACATACATTCACTAAAATATTTATTTCTAAACTATTCTATTTTAGACAATTTAACATTTATTATATTATTAAAATATTTAATAAAATATTATTTTTTTTCCGTTTTAATCTTTAATTTCAATATCTTTTTGATGTTTTAACAACCCCTAAATTACTAAATTACCCTTGTTTAGGTTTTCTTTTTCTTTTTTTCATACGCTGACCACGAATGACAAACCCTCGAAGTGTTTGCTACGCGTTTCTTTTTCTGTATATGGGGTTCCACTCATGTCCCCATCGATCCATCATCACGTCACTTCACTCCTCCTCAAAGCTTCACCGGTAATTTATTTGAATAATGTTTTAAATAAAACTTTTTTAAAAATCATTTAAAAGGATATATGTGTCATTTGTTGTATATAAATAATATATGAAAATTCATTTATTTCTATAAAGATCATTTAATGCATTTAACTAAGTCTTTATTCATGATTTTTTTTTATAATTTTTGTGATTTAAACATGAATAAAATTTCATTTTTTTCATTTTTTATTTTCTATAACATTTAAAATAAGTGTGATTTAACTGTTCATTTAAAATATTTATTTTTATTGAATTAGTTTATTTAAGGATTTTTTATAATTTTCATCAAAAATCATATGTGATACCTACAATTAATAGAATTTTTTTTCAAAAAAAGAATCACTAATTTTCGCCAATGTATTATATGTGATATCAATTACAGTGGAAAATTATATATGATACTGATTATCTACAACATTATATATGATTATGTATAAATTACGAATTACGTTTTCTCCATGTGATTTTATAGATTTTAAATGTGTTTTTGCTACACTACACATCACATGTGATTTTGTTTTCATTATCTTTCTTTTTTTAATGTTTAATTTGAATAATTGTTTTTTCAAACTTTAAATCACATATGATTAGAAAAACATTTAAAAATAATAATTAATTGTGAATCACATGAGATTTAACGAAAATTGTAATTATTTTTAAATAAAAAATGAATTCTTTAGATGAAAGTTAAATATGCTTATTTTAATTGTATTAAATATAATTTTTTTAAATAAAATTTTAACTATATAGAATCATAAATATGGTAAAAGTAAAATCTTAAATAAATGTCTTAGGGGTCGTTTACCAAACATTTATCCGGTAAGTGCTTACTTGTAAAATTTAACACTATTATTTACTTACCGGATAAGATTTTAGTCCACCAAAACAATATCATATGCAATAATTTACTCCGTAAGCGCTTACCGTGGTAAGAGTAGTCGCTCTCACTTACCAGGTAAGACTCTTGTTTCTTGTCTCTCACTTACCCGGTAAGATTTTTGATCATTACCATATTCATCCCGTAAAGTAATGTAACTTCATGTTCACTTACCCGAG